GTGGGGGAAGCTACGCTCGACTCTGAACATTCCGCCCGCCTCGTCCAGCGGACGAAATGATGCCTCCGTGTGGCGATGAGGCTGGCCTACGGTTGCTGCTGATCCTGCGATACGGGAAGCGGGCAGATCTTGGTGATAGGACGGGTCAATCGGGAGGTGGCGGTGTCGATGACGACGACGCGTACCAGGCCGTCAGTCCCGGACCGGACTTCGCTGACTCGTCCGAGCGCCCATTTCGCCGGAGGCAGCTGCTCGTCCTTCAACAGCACGATGGCGCCAGGGGTCAGGTTGGCCGAGCGCTGTCGCCACTTCCCAAGCTGTTGCAGGTGCTGCAGATATTCCCGGGACCACCTGTTCCAGAAATGATCGCGCATATTAGAAATTAGTTGCCAGCGCTGCTTAATGAGGCCCGAAGGGCTGGTTAGCGCTGGCGGTTCCGGCACGTTGATCAGCGACTCGCCGATCAGTAGGTGCCCAGGAGTAAGGGCGGCCGAGTCCGTTGGGTCTGTGCTCAAGGGGTAGAGCGGCCTAGAGTTCAAGCACGCCTCTACCTGGCAGAGGAGCGTCGAGAGCTCCTCGTAAGTCAGCGTGTGGTCGCCGATTACGCGTCGAAGATGATACTTTGTTGACTTTACGCCGGCCTCCCAGAGTCCGCCGAAGTGCGGGGCCGAGGGGGGTATAAAGCTCCAGTCTGTCCCGTCCGACGCCAGTTGTTCCCGGCAGACCTTGTAGAAGTCCGCCGCCGCCCTGAACATCTCCCTCAACTCTCGGTCGGCTCCTCGAAACGTGGTTCCGTTGTCGCTGTTCAGGTGGGCGCAGTGGCCGCGCCTGGCGACAAATCGCTTAAAGGCGGCTAAGAAGGAAGACGTCGTGAGGTCGGATACGGCTTCCAGATGAACTGCCCGTGTGGACATACACACGAACAGACATATATAGCCCTTGAAGGACTTCACGCCTCGTCCCTTTGAGGTACGCAGTTGGATGGGCCCCGCGTAGTCCAGGCCGGTGGAGTGGAACGGCCGCGCGGCCCGGACACGGGTTGCAGGAAGCTGGCCCATTTGTTGCTGGGCAGCCTCGCCCTTGAAACGGGCGCAGCGCACGCAGCGGTGTAGTATCGAGCGTATTAGGCGGCCGGCGTGGATGATCCAGTATCGTCGGGCTAGCACGCTGCGAGTCAGTTGTGGTCCACCGTGTAGCGTGCGCTCGTGGGCGTCCCGGACCAGCAGCAACGACAGGTGGCTCGTCCTTGCCAAGATGATCGGGTGCTTCTCCTCGAATTCCAGCGGGGAATTTTCCAGTCGCCCGCCCACTCGAAGAAGCCCGTCGGGCCCCAGGAAGGGCCTTAGCGCCAGCAGCGGCGATCGGCGTGGCAGCCGCTGACCGCGGGAGAGTGCCTCCGTCTCCCCCGCGAAGTCTTGCCGCTGTGCGACTCGAAGCCAGGCAAGTCGACAGCCCTCGAGCTCGTCTGCAGAGAGGTGGGCTCCCGTCCAGGCCTGTCCTGGAAGAAACCTACGACAGAAGGCCGTTACGCGAATCAACCTGGAAAGAGATGAGAACCTGGACAGTAAGTCATTCTCCTGCTCCGTTGTGGCCGTCGTGGTCGCGTGCACGCGGCGCACCTCGCAGTCGGTCCGCTCCTCGCAGGGGTCGAGTGGCCACCGTTCGGGCGGCTCCGCCAGCCAGGGTGGGCCCCTCCACCACAGGCTCAGATCTGACAGCTCTGACGGGGTGATACCCCGCGTTGCAGCATCCGCAGGATTGTCCGCCGTCGGCACGTGGCGCCACCGCTCCGTGGGCACCAGCTCCTGTATGGCGGACACCCGGTTCGCTACGAACGGCTTCCATCTAGACGGGTGCGCTCTCAGCCATGCCAGCGCCACCCTGGCGTCCGACCATGCATGGAGGGCGTCGGCTGGCAATCCGAGCCCCTTTGCCACCCGGTCGAGCAGGCGCGCCGTCAACAGGGCCCCGCACAGCTCCAATCTCGGGATCGAGACCGGTTTCGCTGGGGCGACCTTTGTCTTGGCTACCAGAATGCTTGTCCTGACAGCGCCGGACGCGTCCTCGCTTCTTAAATACACCACTGCGGCGTATGCTCTCTCGGATGCGTCGGCGAAGCCATGCAGCTGCATGGTACATCCGTCCGTGACGCCGGCCCAGCGAGGTATGCTCAGGCTGTCCAGCTCATGCAACGTGGAGATGTAGTCCATCCAGCGAGCCCGTAAGTGTGAAGGAAGGGGCTGATCCCACTCTACTCCCGCCAACCAGAGATCCTGCAAGAAAATCTTGGCGGTGACGAGCACCGGCGCCGCCCACCCGGCCGGGTCGTATGATCTTGCGGCGTCGGAGGCGACCCGTCGCTTGGTGGGCCCCTCGGTCGAAGTCAAGATCGGAACTGCTCGTAGGCCGAGCGAGTCTCGGCTAGGGGACCAGAGGACGCCCAATGCCCCGACCAGGTCGCTGGTGGAGATGAGTCGCTCCTCCTGATCTCCCTCAGGGCACAGGTCCGCGTGCGTCCCGGACCACTTGCTGAGGGGGAAACCGCCCGCCTTAAGCAACCCCACCAGCTGCCGCTTCAGCTCCAGCGCCCCGTCCATCGAGCCCGCTCCAGCGAGAATGTCGTCGACATAGGTGTTGGAGCGTATGGCAGCCGCTCCAAGTGGAAACCGTGTTGCCTCGTCCTGTGCGAGCTGCAGAAGGGTGCGGATGGCGAGATACGGTGCGGACGTCGTACCGTAGGTCACTGTGGTGAGCCGGTAGTCCTCAACCTCCGAGGTCGGATCCGCCCGCCACAGAATTCTCTGCAGGTCCACGTCGTCTGGGTGCACGCGAATCTGGCGGAACATCTTCACAATGTCCGTGGTGAATGCGTACCTGTGGAGCCGCCAACGGGTAAGGACCAACCAGAGGTCGACCTGCAGTTTCGGTCCGGCGAGTAGCACGTCGTTCAGCGAGACCCCGGAGGAGGTTCGGAAGGACGCATTGAAGACCACCCTGATCTTCCCGGCCGGGTCCGTAGCCTTGACTACGGCGTGGTGGGGCAGGTAGTAACATTCACCGACTCCGCTTCTGGGTGCCCCCTCCATATGGCCCAACTCAAGGTACGCGTCCATGAAGTCGGCGTACCTCTGTCTGAGCGACGGATCTCGCTCCAAGCGGCGCTCCGTGCTGAGAAGCATCTGCAATGCCCCGCGACGGGAAGCCCCGAGAGCCGTTGACGGGTTCGTCTTCCGGGGGAGGCGAACGATATATCGCCCCTCCGAGTCACGGGCGTGTGTCTGTGCAAACAGTTGCTCGCAGTGGGCCTCGTCCGGGGAAGGTATCCGCTCGTCGGCCACCTCTTCCAATTCCCAGAACCGACGAAGATCGTGTTGAAGGTCCGGTTCCACCGACGCGTGATGTGCCACCACGGACTGCGGCGTGGCGCAGTCGGCGCCGGAGAGGACGCCCATGAGCACCCATCCGAACACGGTCAAATGAGCCGTCGGGCTGTCGGGGTGGCCGCGTCGGACATCACCCTCGAGCAGCATCCCGTACACACTCGCCCCGAGTACGGCGTCGACCGCAGCCGGCCTGTCAAAGCCGGGATCGGCTAACTGAAGTCCCTCCAGATGAGGCCAGTCGCCCCTCAGCACCTGTCGTCCCGGCGTGAGGGCGGTAAGTTTGGCCAATACCAAGACCGTCGGTAGCGCGATCCTGAAGGAGGGCGCTTTCTCCGAACCCACCATCAGAGAGACCGCGTGGGCGGCTCTCCCGGTGGTCGTGCCCTGCAGGCCGGAGACGGTTACGTTGACGCGGCGTCGTGGCAGCCTGAGATGTTGAGCCACCCGCTCGGACACGAACGACGCCTCCGATCCTGAGTCCAGTAGCGCTCGAACCGTCATGGATCTGCCCGTGTCACTGATCAGCCGGATCATGGCGGTCGCGAGCAGCACCATGCTCGTAGTGGAGGTGGATAACGCGGCGACCCTCGTTGCCTCAACCGGCTGCTCGACCTTGTCCTTCGACACAGCGGAATCGGTTGAGTCCGGAGTGGCCGACGGCGGCGCTCCTCGCTCCAGTATGTGTAGCATCGTGTGGTGGGTCTCCTGGCAGATGCGGCACCTACCTGTGGAGGGGCAAGCCGAAACCGCGTGACCTTGACCAAGGCAGTTGAAGCACAGTCTCCCCTTTCGTACAAGGTCGCGACGCTGTTCCACTGAATACGCCCTGAAGCGGGCGCAGGAGCGTAGGTAGTGCCGCTCCCTACACTGCAGTGGACACTGTGGTCCCCGGTTGTCAGCTCCGGTGGCGGTGGCATGGGCCGACACCTCTTCCTTGCGTCCACTTCGCCTTGTACCCGTCCCTTGGGGCGCGTTGGAGATGGTGGCGGTCGTCTGTGTCGGTCGCGGGCCGGCCGCCTCCAGCGCCCGAGCGCGGGTGAGAAGGAACTCCTTCAGCTCCTCGAAGGTCGGGAAGTCTCGACTTGACTTGTGCTCCGACTCCCACAGTAACCGCGTCGCCGAGTCGAGTTTGTCGACGAGTATGTGGACGAACCAGTCGTCCCACTGATCCACGGGGCGGCCTAGCGTTCGAAAGGAGCGTGCCGCCTGATTTACCACGCTTAGGAGTCGGCCGAGCTCGGAAGCCGATGGTTTGGTCACCGGCGGGCTGGACAGCAGCACGCGCATGTGGGTCGCCATCAGGACTCTCCGATTGTCGTAGCGCGACGCGAGCTCCTCCCACGCCAAGGCGTAGCCCCGCTTCGAGATCTCGATGTTTGCGACGGCCGCCGCCGCCTCTCCAGTAAGGCTGGCCTTGAGGTACTGGAGCTTCTGCGTCGGAGCAAGTCCCTCCACGTCGTGAACCAAGGAGACGAAGAGGTCCCGAAAGCCTTCCCATGCCAGCTGATCGCCATCAAACGTGGGCAAGCTGATCTTCGGCAGCTGTATCTGCCTTAAGACGGCATTTGCTTCGCCCTTGCCTGACGGGGTCGGAGAAGGCGGCACCGCCAGATGGGCGGTGATGCGAGACTTCACGCTCACATAGTGCTCCTCCGTGGCCTGGAAGACGTCGCTCTTCATATATTCCGTGCCTTCCACGCCCTCATATCCTAAGACGGCATCGTGCCCTTCCATGAACTTTCTCCAATAGGACTCCAACAGCTCCAGCCGCGTCGTTATGTAGGCGCGGGTCATTTTCTCCTTCCCGACCTTTACGAGGTTGTCCCAGAAGCGCTCGATGTATCCGGCAGAGATGACTTGTTTTTTGATAGCGATGTCCATCGTGGAATGCTATTAGATGAGACCGCCGCGTGTACGCAATCGACCGTCGTAGGGGGCGAAGCGAGAGGCGCGAAGCGTGGAGCGCGAAGCGTGGTGCGCGCAGCGTGCAGCGCGATTCTTCAATTCTTGAAAGCACCGGCGGCGTACGTGAAATGGTAGGCGTGAAGCACCGAAACGCGGTCAGCCGATCCGGGTACCACACCGATTCACTCGAGAGTAACGCGCACCGGTGTACTCTTCACCTACACGATCTGGCATCGACACCCACGACTCGTATCGGTTCCGCGCTCGGATCCGGCTCGAAGGACCAAAATGTGGGCCTCTCGTCGTGCGGAAATCGCGCGGTTGGAGGAGACCCGAAAGGATGAGAGCGCGAAACACGAACACAAGTACAAATGAGTAGGCCGACGATTCGTTAGCACCGCTTTATTAACTTAAAGAGCAAATACAATACGTGAAAATTAAACGATCGCGAAGACGCGGGCGAGGACTCCGTCCCGATCTGCACAGGGACTTCGCGGAGATGTGACGAGAATCTCGGAAGCCTGCCAGAACGAGAGTGTCCTAAAATCGAAGAGAAAAGCCG